GGTACCTCTTGCAATATATCATTCTTCATCACAATCGGACCATGCTTGGAATGAGAAATAGGTCATGAGTCGGATGTCGGTAAGGTGAGATATACGTCTTTGTCTTCCTTTCTTGTTCCTCTCTGTTATGCATCGACGACGAAAAAACTAGTAAAAGAACACACCCCGTCATTAGCGCGTCTTCCTTTACGGTTGGCAGTTGGTGATCCTGCCAGTTTGTAAGAGCAGGTACCGACCCAAGCTTTAGCATTTTTCTTTGATCTCGCGATCAGTAGAAATGGGCGGAAAAGTGGGTGTGAATGGGGATGTAAAGGCGAGGCTGAGATGCATAACGGACTTTTGATTGACTTTGCTCGATGTATTCCATTTAACTGACATGCGTTCTTTCAGATCATCCAGAACAGAATGGATGCTGCGCTCTCGTTTCATGAATTGATCCTCACCCTTTTTAATGCAATCATCTGAAGCTAGCACAACCCTTTACGGGTATCCATCTGCTCCATGTCGTAAAGTTGGCCACTAGTGTCAGTCGAAGCCTCGAAAACGTTGAGGCTTGAAAACGTCCACGACACCGCCGCGGATTTGTCTAAGTCGTCCATGGTTCTGAATTTCAAGCCACTCAATCTGCAAGTTATACACCCTTTTTTTGCATTCTCAATGATATTGTGGCAGATAACCAGTTGAACGCCGACTGTCCCGTGGCTGCTAGCTGCATATTTAAGGCAAATTGTTTTGGCAATGTCACCAACCAGCATCTCCGGATGGCGCTCACATTTAGCAAGAGGATTTTGGCCTTGCTACCCCTTGTGTACGCGTTGAACGTCGCGACCGTTGTCCATTGTCATGGCCCTCAGGACATTGTTCGATTTGCTTTCATCCATGCTAACGTGACCAGTCCGTTGCACATTTAGGGTGAAACTGTTCTGATGTTTTTTTGAACAATTTTAGGTAACGCGAGACCTCGGAATTCGATTTGACCCCATCGCCGAATTGGATATTGCCTGGCCTGCTGTCAACCCGGGCGACGAGCCTCTGCAACCTTCAGTCGGGGCACGTGTGACAGATAATTGTGGGCTGCATGCAAAACCTTCTGCCCATATTTCAACACTGATCATGCCCAAGACACTGCACCTATCCCTACATTCACGCTGTTAGGTGTCCCTCAAGACGTTGGACCGTTTGTGGTGTTCATGCTCGACCCCGACGCCCCTACCCCGGAGCAACCCACCTCCAAATCCAACCGACACTTTATAGGTTGCAATTATTACCAGACTTGGGGAGATCATGTTCTGAGGAACACCACTCAACCACCCTCGAGGTGGTACAGGCCCCTTCCCCTACCTAATTCTCGCGAGCATCGGTGGGTGCAACATTGCCTCCTAGTGTGTGGCATTGGCGCCGATAACAATCATCATACAGTTACGTCTTTTTGGTTTACAGCCAACCCAAGTCGTTTGACTGGACCATTATATATGAGCGAAGCACCCATGAACACTTCGATATTGCTGCTTATGCCGAACAAAACAAACTTGGGAACCCGATCGCAGGCAATTTTTTTTGGATCGAATCTAACGCGAGTTGCTGGAGGGAGGGATGTGAGTGATTTGGCTTAAAGTATGAAGTCTACTGTCGAATATGCGTTGTTTCTCAACAATTAAACCGGTTCTTCAATGTAGGGATCTGAATGCAAGCTTGTTGGACAATACACAAATGAAAACTGCAAATAATGGATCTTCAACAGGCATATCTCCGCTTCATAGGTCTGAGGCTGCAACGCCCCTATATCGCCCTCGACGACCTCGTAATGTTGATGCAAATAGCTGATATGCCACCAGCCACATCTAACCGTATCAGAATGTGGAAAGCTCCTTGACTGTTCAAATTATCGCAGAAGCTGACATGTGTCGACCTAATGTTGGGTATAATGGCACTGAGAATCCTCCCCTAAGGACTCATGCTACCACGTTCGGAAATTTTGATGTCGTCGATTACGCGCTCAAGAATGAGCTTGGGAATCCCATAGCAGGGACCTTCGTCTACATCGAGTCTAATATTAGCTGTTGGAGAGGGGGTTGTACATAGATTTGGACGCGAAATGTACTTCGATGTGGCTCGTCTCGTCAAATGCAGCATCCATCAGGGGGGCGGTGACTCCCAACAGAGATACGCATCGGGATACCTGTCCCAAAGAGGGGTATAATTTGGCTATTATGTCCGTGTTATGAGTCGGAGAAGCTTGCATCGGACTTCTAGAATGTGACGCACATAGCCTTGGTGAATGTCAGCCAGCCAACGTACGTGACGCAGAAACTCCACGGGAGTCGACTTCAGAAGCTATACTTTCTAGGAGGTTGAGCAAAACTCCTTTAAAAGGCTCTAGATTGTGGACCCAGGGGCAGCATCATAGCAGACGAAAGTGGCTCGACACTGCCAGTCAGGGCTTCTAATTACTCTAATATTTTCATCTGATGGTGCTGACTTTTGATTAACCGATACAAACGAGCAAACTTAGAGCATAGCGTGCCATTTCAAGAGAAAATACAATCAATGATCGAGGATGGAGCGAAATAACAATATCCCCATGAAGTCTCAAATGCTAGCCGTTGTTGGCCATTCAAACTTTTAGGAGGGTTTCGTTTGTTGCAGCCTAATAGGAGACCCCGAGGGCTGACCGCCCATGAATCACATTTATAACGACCATAGATTGGTGGATAACCAATCGTCGACTTTATTCTAGCAACAAATCTCCCTCATCAAAACTTCAACAGCCCCAATGCATTCAGCATTTCTCAGTTTGGTGTTCATTCTGGCTGTTCCCATCCTTGTCTCCGGTACCCCTTCGGGGTCTCCTGCGTGTCCTGACATGTCAGCGCCTCTCCGAGCCGTCAAGCTGGCATTCGAAGATGCTAAAGTAAGTACTCGAAATTTTCTTACTTCGTTTTATTGTGTCTTAATAAAAAATACATCGAAGATACCAACAGATATCAATACCAGCTTCGAACCCCAAGCACTGTTAGGCGTTACCTGGCCGTCGCCAAACACAGGAGAAGATCCTATTTACACATACCCCGGAAGACATTTGTTTGACAACGGTAAGTTCTCCTTGTAACTCGAGACATGTTCTCAATGGGGGAAAGTGCTTTTTTGACAATGCCTCTGCATGCACCAGTGACGTCCTCAATTCCAACCTTTACAGTTGCAGGTTTGCCCATGCAGCAAAAAGGCCCATTCGTCATCGTTATGTTCGACCCAGATGTCCCAGCCACAGAGAAGCCCTCTATCAGAGACTTTATAGGCAGTGACTTCTATGTCGACCGCCAAAGCTCGGTTTTGAAGAATCGGACGGCTGCGATCGCAAGCTGGCGTCGTCCATCGCCTCCTCGAAGGTCTCAGCAAGAACGGTAATTCTTCAATCCTCTCCACATATTTGAAGACCACTACACGGCTACTCTTTCATAGATATGTCTTTTTGATGTACAAGCAGCCACTCACATTCAACAACACAGTAAATCTGGATAATACGACCTTCCGTAATTTTGACGTTGCCGATTATGCACTCAAAAATGGCCTCAGTCTCCCCATCGCAGGAACGTTCCTTAACATAGAGTCTAATGCGAGTTGCTGGAGGGATGGATGCAAATAGCACTGCTGTTTATTCGCAATATATCATGTCGACTTGGTTCGTTCGCGCCTGCACATTGACAATATGTATGTGGACATTCGGAGCAATTGATTGATGCGGATCAGCCGGCGCTAACTTATTCCGTCTATAGGTTGACAACTGGTTTGAGTCTCGAAGCCTTCTTTCAAGTATATATGAGCAACGCCCTCGCATTCGTATTATTTTGGGCAACTGTCACTTGAGGCTTCGATTATTTAGAAGTACCGCACTTGAATGAATCGCCAGATATTAACTCGTCCTTTGATCCGGCCTGACTAAAGGACGTATTTGTGGAATTATCAGGTCTAATTTGGGGCTAATTGAGAAGTCCCAGACATTTTTTATCACTTTATCTAAGCGGGAAGCGTTTCTCCCCCCTCCCCCTTTCCTTCTACTTCATGCTGAAGCTTTCATGTAGCCCGAGAACACTACAAGATACCCCCCTTCTGAATCAAAAAAGCTCTCCCCATAGCCAGGGACACCACCGCCGAGCATGCTTTTCAGGATCGCCCAAGGCCTCTGTGTTTTGTCTAGTCTACTTCTCGCCTCTCAAGAAACAGTCGCGCTGGATAATCCTTCACCTATCTCGCCATATCTAAGCAATGTAAAGACAAAATTCCAGGAGGCTGGGGTAGTACCTTCGACATTCGCTACGTGTAGAGCCTCCTAACATATTTGCAGATAGTCGACTCCTTAGGCATAAAGTTTGGGCCCAAGGCTTTATTAGATATCATATGGCCTGCACCGGACGGTGTATCACACCCCATTCGCTTTTACCCAGGGGGTCATCTCACTGACAACAGTACGTTCTCCAAGCCAAATATTTTTTGTGGAGAGTTTTGTCTCAACTCCATACAGACACGATACCCCTTCCGATTTTCAAAGCGATTGGGCTCACAGACAACAACACTGGGCCCTTTGTTGTCATAACCGTTGACCCAGACTCCCCAACCCCAGACTCCCCATTCTTGAGGCCAATTTGTCACTTTATTAGTGGCGATTTTTATTTCGATGCCAGTGATTCATTGCTCAAGAACCGAATGGAGGCCATTTCGGGTTGGATACGCCCAGCCCCAGTCCAGCATCTAGTGAACATAGGTGAGTGCAATCTCATCGCCTCGGTTTCACTCTGGAGCGTGCAATTGACGAACTGTCTGTCACAGATTCGTATTTTTGTTATACGAAGACCAGTTGGCGCTCATTGGCAGGAAGATATTGACATGTAAAAATATCGCACACTAGCACACAAGCTAATGAAGCTTGACATTGACCAAAAATGCTATTAGATTATCTCCAAGTCCAAAAAGCACGAAGAATAGATTTTCTGAGCAAAAAGAAACGACGCCAGCAGGATTCGAACCTGCGCCCTCAAAGAGGAACAGATGATTGGAGACATTCCTATTCTAATCTGTCGCTGTAACCACTTAGCTATAGCGCCTGTGTGATTGGCAAGCCACCTTGGCGGTCCTAGCTCGCAAGGCCATCCATTGGCGCCTTCATCAAATAGCTTATTGACACCCATCGCTCCAACAACTGACCTTGGACTCGATGTACGCGAAAGTTCCTGCAATTGGGTCTCCTAAATCGCGATGCCGCGCGTACTTCGTCAGATTGAAATGTCGAGTATTGATGAGGTGGTGGTGGTGGTTGAATCCACCTGGTTGTTGATGCTGTCGTCCATGATATATTTCGATGATTGCTGATTTGAGCAAAAGAGCGCGAACTATTCCTGTCAATTGTCTCGCAACATTGGCCCATAAACTTGTGCATCCATGCTCTCCAGCAGAGATATTGGTGATATGTATTAGAAACAATAACAGATATATGGAGCACAAATTCCGAAATAGCAGGGGTAGACTGGCCCTAAGAAAGTAGATGCATAAGATATCTCATTCAAAAGTCAGGGGAACGACGCGTCAACCCGTTCATTTGATCCTCATTTCGTTGTGTAATACTCTGGGCGTCTGATGAATATGACAGTCAGGCGTGGATTAATGCCCTCAGCGCTTCTTGGACGCTTCCGCCATTTTCAGAGAGAACTTTTTCAGCCTGAGCCCGGGGAATCTCAAATTCACTGACCTAAGGGACCACATGAGCCTTCAAAGGAGGTTTGAGTTTGCATATGAAACTCACAATCAAATCAACATCCTCTCGCTTTAGAGCAGCGATTGATGGGTCCTTGGGCTTAACTGGTGCCTTGGCAGTGGGCTTGTCCAGGAAGCCACCTGAACGAAATGCTTCCTCCATTTTGTACTTGGAGTATGCGAGGCCATCTGCATACTGTTCGTCGTAGATGAATACGTTGGAAAGTCTGACCGTCAGTCAGGTAGGCAGTTGTGCTCTCCGTTTGACACGCACGTTGACGATGACTTCAGCCTCCGGCCTGCCGTTAGAATGTGACATTTCTGTAATTTGAAGGTTAATAACGATTAAACAAGATACTTAAAGTTTACTGACTGGGACGAGATGGACTCGATGACGGTTGAGTTCAAGCAACAATTCCACAGCCGGACCGGGTTCTCAGTTCAATAATATTAATAACACGTGACATACAGAGATTTTGATCGAGATTAGTGACAGAATGACTCCTCGTTAACCACCACCACTGAGCTCTTCTGTACTTGGGGTACGAGAGTTATAGAAACATTATTGGGATATTTTCTTAAAAATGGTACAACGATCCAAAGTTGACGGTATGTTATCATGACAGTATCTGCCTTATACCGTTATTTATCGCATCACGCTTTTACAGGTCCCTCGCAGGCTGAGGTCTTGCTAAGAGTTACCTCAGGAATTGCTGCTGAGTTGATCAAAGCACATGACAATAATGAAACAGTATCATTGAACGAAGTCCGTGCAAAAATGAGCAAAAAGTTTGGATATGGAGGTGTACCGCGTCTCGTTGACATCATCAGCGCTATCCCGGACGATTACAAAAAGGTGCTGCTTCACAAGCTTAGAGCTAGACCTATCAGAACTGCTAGCGGTGTGAGTACATATATCCTCTACCTGTTGATGCTCTATTCAAGGAGATATTCTAGATCGCCGTTGTTGCAGTTATGTGCAAACCCCATCGTTGCCCACATATTGCGATGACGGGAAACATTTGTGTGTGCGTGTAGATCCATTACCTTCTGGTAAATATTGCTCAACTTTCTCTTTAGCTACTGCCCTGGTGGACCAGATTCCGATTTTGACTACAGCACTCAAAGTTATACCGGTTATGAACCTACAAGTATGCGAGCCATCCGCGCGCGTTATGACCCATATGAGCAGACGAGAGGCAGAGTGGAACAGTTGAAGAGCTTAGGACACAGTGTGGACAAGGTTTGTTTGCAAGAATACTATCCGGACCATGACTTATTTCTGGATAGGTTGAGTTTATCGTTATGGGAGGAACTTTTATGAGCATGCCTGAGGATTACCGAGGAAAATTTATTGCCCAGCTACATAATGCGTTGTCTGGCTTCACTGGAACTGACGTAGACGAGGCTGTTAGGTTTGTCTCCCTATTTTGCGATCGTACTTCAATTATTCTGATGTTCTCCCAGATTTTCCGAGCAGAGTAAATCAAAGGCGATCGGCATCACCATTGAAACCAGACCAGATTACTGCTTAAGGCCTCATCTTAGGTAGATTATATTTCTTCACGCTTGCTGAGATTGGTCACTCATTGCATTCAACAGTCAAATGCTTCGATATGGCTGCACGCGTCTAGAAATCGGTGTCCAGTCCGTGTATGAAGATGTTGCTCGTGATACGAACCGTGGACACACAGTCCGTGCTGTATCAGAATCCTTCCACCTCGCAAAAGATGCTGGCTTCAAAGTTGTTGCCCATATGATGCCCGATCTACCTAACGTTGGAGTAGAGCGCGATCTAGAGCAGTTCAAGGAGTATTTCGAAAACCCGGCATTCCGTAGCGATGGACTGAAGATCTACCCAACCCTCGTTATTCGTGGAACTGGACTGTATGAGCTATGGAGGACAGGCCGTTACAAGAATTACACCGCCAATGTACTTGTGGATGTGGTTGCCAGAATTCTTGCTCTCGTTCCTCCTTGGACACGAGTGTACCGAGTCCAACGGTATGTTTCTCAACTCTTCTCGTTGTTGTATGTCTGATTAATTGTGATACAGTGATATTCCTTTGCCCTTGGTAACGAGTGGATGTGAAAACTCTGGTAATCTTCGAGAGCTTGCTCTTAACCGAATGAAAGACTTTGGCGCTGTCTGTCGTGATGTTCGATTCAGAGAAGTCGGAGTATGTCTACGTTTTTTGGAATTGGCTCATACACTCAGCACTTATGACTTTAGATTCACGAAATCCATCATAAAGTCCGGCCAGAATCCGTTGAACTCCTTAGGCGAGACTACACCGCAAATGGAGGATGGGAGACTTTCTTGTCATATGAAGATCCAGAGAAAGATATTCTAGTTGGTCTGCTCAGGCTACGAAAGTGTTCCGAGGAGGGAACCTTCCGTCCTGAACTCGTCAAGGTGCCTGGTGATGATAGAGGATGCAGTATTGTCAGAGAATTACACGTATACGGTACTGCTGTACCTGTACATGGACGTGATCCTACCAAGTTCCAACATCAGGTAAGGCTTTTTGGTGTGAAGGAATAAACGCATATGTCTGATGATTTTTCTGCAGGGCTTCGGAACTTTGCTAATGGAAGAAGCTGAACGGATAGCACGAGAAGAGCACGGCAGTCGCAAGCTCGCTGTTATTTCCGGTATGTTCTGCCTCACCTTTAGATAGGATAGCTCTCTCATGATTCTTTAGGTGTTGGGACTCGCGACTACTACCGAAAACTTGGCTATGAGCTTGATGGACCCTACATGAGCAAGTTGTTGTGATGCCGTTTTATCGATAAAAAATAATATTTTTCTTCTGTTGCTGAGACGATTGTAACTTATGTTTATTCGCTGTATATTAGTTTCTTGTCTCGACGTAGAATCAACCAACTATCAAACTTTGCATCTTCATGTCCACCACGTCCACGATGGAGTGTAGCCAAGAGTCTAGCTAATGAGCATTTCCTAATTCAGGACACGCGTCATTAGTCGCGCTCAATTATTTCGTTCGTTCGCTCGTGTATTTTAAATAAAAAAATAAATTCCCGAAATGGATGGACTCCGTCCGAATTAGGAAGGGGCACAGCTTGTGACTCAGTGTGACCATGTCTGAGCCTCGTTATCACTTCACACCTATTCCTTGCCATCTATTGCCTCGATTCACACCGTTATTCCTTGATTACATGGAAACAAAAGCTGATTTTATTGCCTATAGTACAAGGACAGCATCTGGTAGTGGGGTTGGAATGTGATATCATGGGCCAGAGGGAAGGTAAATCTAAAAAAAGCGTGATTTATGTCAGATTTCACCCCTTTTTTGCAGAAAAAAAAAGTACTGTATGTTGTATATAAAATTTAAATGAGGTATAACAAAAAGAATTAGGTTAAAAGAGTGTATATTGGTGGAAATATAAACAAATGAGTGTGGTATGAAGTGGTGTGGGGTAGAGCTAGACCGTAGACGTGACAAAGGCATGACTTCCTAATTCGGACGGGGTCCATCCATTTCGGGAATTTATTTTTTCATTTAAAATACACGAGCGAACGAACGAAATAATTGAGCGCGACTATTGAGCGGGCTGATCGGTAATAATGAATTAAATCATCTTGCTCATGTCCCCCATCCCGATTACTGTCTTTACAGGCTTTCTAGGCGCTGGAAAAACCTCTGTCATTCTCTCCCTGGTTGAGAGGCTCCCTAAGGAGTATAAAGTTGTTCTGCTGAAGAATGAATTTGGGGATGTCGAAGTCGATAGCAAGCTTGCTAAACAATCAGCATTGTCTGCCGTCAGCGAGATCTTGAACGGGTGTATGTACGTGGTCTATTGCGCTGGGTTAAATAATTCGGTGTATTAACTATTTGGAAGGTGCTGCGTCTTGGTCGGTCAGATGCAGACAGCACTACTAGAGATTCGTGGTATGTAAATTGACTATTGAACTATTTGAGTCATTTTGAAGTACTGATGGTCGTGGATAGACAATTTTCGACCGGATCGAATTATCATCGAGTGCTCGTAAGTCATTTAGACTCGAAAATAACCTGAAGTGTCACTTGAACCATTCTGTCCAGTGGCTCGGCCTTCCCTGCGACCCTTGCATTCCAAATTCGACAGCTGGAAAAGGACACTGGTGGCGACTTTGAACTCGATGGAATCGTCACTGTAATCGACGCGGAGAATTTCGTTGGGTATGAAGATACCTCTCCCACCGCTAAGATGCAAGCAAGCTATTCCGACGTCATTTTAATCGTGAGTGTCCTGCTTCCATCTTACAGATCGCCTTCGCTAATCTAGCCACTCATTTCAGAACAAATGGGAGCATGTAACTGAGCATGCCCTCGATGTTGTCCTTGACCAT